AATAGTGTAAAAGTCAATATCTACTCCACTATTTTCCCAACAATGAAAACTACTACCTAAAAATGATTGTATGCACCAGATGCTATATAAAATTTTGTATGTGCATGCTTTCATCGACTCTTCAATGTACCTAACAATCTGCAGTTTTGAAGACAGGAGATGGATGCTCAGAGAGCTTAAATGACTAGCTTGCTTAAAATTACAGAGCAACGAATGGGAACTAGTCAAGGGTGTTCTTTATAGCTACTTCTGTTCAATATTATAGTGGAAGTCTTTACTTTGGACATGTACCTAACATGATGTCCTTCTCCAGGTACTGGTCTGTCCTGAGAACATGTCCAAAGTATGTGAGACTAAGCCTCGCCATCCTTGCCTCTGAGGAGCACTCTGACCTTACTTCTTCCAAGACAAATTTGTTTATACTTTTGGCAGTCTAGGGTAATTTCAGTATTCTGTGATGGCACTATAATCCAAACACATTGATTCTTCTTCAGTCTTCCTTATTGAGTGTCCAACTTTCATGTACATATAAGACAATGGAAAAGACCCTGGCTTGGGTCAGGCCCACTGTAATCTTCAAAGTAACATCCTTGCTTTTTTTTCAATCTTCTGAAGAGGTATTTGTGCAGCTAATATACCTAACGTATCATGTCATTTGATAATAAGCTTCCATAAGCATTGATTATGGATCTAAGCAAGACAAAAATCCTTAACAACCTCAAGGTTTACTCCAGTTATCATGATGCTACCTATTGGTCCATTTGTGAGGATTTTTACCTTTTTTTATATTGAGTTATAATCCATACTGAAGGCTGCAATCTTTGGTCTTCATCAGTAAGTGCTTCAAGTTCTCCTCACTTTCAGCAAGCAAGGTTGTGTCATCCGCATATCAAAGGTTGTTAATAAACCTTCCTCCTATCCTGATTCCACATTCTTCTTCATATAATGCAGTTTCTCTGATTATTTGATCAGCAAACAGTTTATATAATTATAGTAAGTGGATACAACCTTGAACAGACCTTTTCTGATTTAAAACCCTGCAGTATTCCCTTTTTCTGTTTCATAACACTCTCTTATTCCATAGACAAGTTCTCCATGAGCACCGTGAAGTATTATAGACTTTCAATTCTTCTCTATCCATAATTTGTTATGATCTACAGAGTCAAACATTTTGACATAGTTGATAAAACAAGAAAATAAACATCCTTCTGCTAGTCTCTGCTTCCACCCAAAATCTATCTGACATCAGCAATGATGTCCCTTGTTCTTCATTATCTTCTGAATTTTATCTGAACCTTTGGCAGCTCCCTGTTAATGCATTGCTGCATTGGATGATCTTTATGAAATTTCACTTGCGCCTGATATCAATGATATTGTTCTATAATTAGAGCATTCTGTTGGATTGCCTGTTTTTGCAATGTGTATAACTATGCATCTCTCCCAGTCAGTTGACCAAGTAGTTATTTTCCAAATTTCCTGACACAGAAGAGCAAGTGCTTCCAGTGCATCTTCAGCTTGTTGAAATGTGTATTCTGTCAATTCCTAGACCCTTATTTTTGGCTAATGTATTTAATGCCACTTGAACTTCTTTGTTCAGCACCGTTGGTTCTTACTCATATGCTACCTCCTGAAATGGTTGAATGTTGAATAATCCTTTTTGGTACAGTGACTCATTCTTTCAATTGTCTTTTGGTACTTCTTGTATTGTTCAATGTTTTGTCCATAGAATCTTTCAATATTGCAACTCAAGGCTAGAATTTTTCTTGAGTTCTTTCATTTAAAAAATATGCTGAATATGTTCTTCTTTTTGGTTTCCCAACCCTAGGTCTTTGCACATTTCATTATAATATTTTACTTTGTCTTCTTTGGCTTCCCTTTGTAATTTTCTATTCAACTTTTGCCTTTATCATTTTTCCACTTTCCTTAGGTAAGATTAAGAGCAAGTTTCATAGTCTATTCTTAGTTTTAAAACTCTGCTGAAACCTGCTTACCCTAGGTGACTCTCCTGGCATTTGAAATATCAGTGACACAGCTTCTAGCATCACAGCAACACACAAGTCAACACAACATGTGGAACTGACAGACAAGCGATATGGCAAAGCTATGGAAGCCATTATAGAAAATATATGGTGCTTTCTAAAAGTTTGACATAGAAATACTGTATATGATCCATAAATCCATATATGTGATATATACCTTAGAGTAAACGAGTCATGCCATAGATCTATATATGAAGCCCTATTTATAGTAGCCAAAGGATGGAAACAAGCTAAATGCTCCCGTTTGGGAAAAATGGATAAACCTTGATATATACAAAAAATGGAATACTATGAAGCATTATAGAAATACTTCTACATGTAGATGAACCTGGAGAATATTACACTAAGTGAAGGTCGTCAATCACAAGATGGAAAATATGATGTGAAACCACTATTGTAAAAATTCAAGAAAAATTTTCACATAAAAAGAAGCATTATTTGGAACCTGCGGGATGAGAGTGGAAGGAATAGCAAGTCACTAGCCCAGCAGTAGACACATGTTCACTTGAGTTATAGGGAAGAAAATATACAATAAGCGGCATGTCAGAAGAAAAAAATGATGGAGGCAGGCACTGAAGGCACTGGAAGGAATGCAAGATTAAAGACAATATAAACAAATACTATTATATACATAATATTGCAATAATTGTGATCCACAACTAGATGCTTGGACAGCCATGGAGGCTGACTGGTTGTGGGAGGGAGAATGGGTACATACAAAAAAAGAAGGTATTTGTATATGTGTATTTACCACTGCTGCAATTATACCCATGAATGTGGTAGGACGTATAAGAGAAAAATTAACATAGCGTCTTAGACACATCCAAAGACCTTGAGGTAATGAGTCACTGGACCTGGGGGCTCAGCAACATAGTCTTGTGGTAAATCAGACTAAATTGATGCCCACAAAAATAATGTTATACATCATACTTTGGTGAATAGTTACTGGGGTCTTAAAATTCCATGAATGACCATCTAAGATGCAAATACTGGTTTTTCCCTGTCAAAAGAGGAATGAAGAAAATTGAAGAGGCATGAAAACAATTAGTCCAATGGACTAATGGACCACACAAACATCAGCCTCCATGATCCAAAGACCAGAAGAAAACGATGGTGCCAGTTACCATTACCAATTGCTCTGAAATGGGCTTGCAAAGAAGGCCCTGGACAGAGTGGGATGAAAATATCGAATGAAATCCAAAACATAAAATGCTATACTTAGTTTTTCTCCAGATTTGTACATGACTCATTGCCACGATCGATTTTTAGCCAAACAGGACGCAACATTTGGGGGATAACAATAAAACTAGGGAGTCATGCACGCCTTTGCATAATCAACCAATTTAATAACCAAAGGGCAACATATACCCTAGGACAATATTCAGAGTGTTTAAGAAAGAAATTGAAATGGGAATAATACATGTGAGGTGTAAGTGATATTTCATTATATGTATTGAAATCAGTGATATGAAAATAAACTACATATAAATTGTTGAATGTAAAACTGATCTACTCAACAAAACTTTAACCCATTTAAAAAGTAAAGATGATCATGATGCTAGCAAGATAGTAGCCTAGTTGAACTGTATCTTCGTTCTGTCTGAATGGAGAGATTATTTCTTAAGACTTCATTAAATTCAAAGAAGATATTCAATGCTCTCTTTAGTATGCCAGCCAAAAACTTGTAAGAAGGTGAGAGTAATGTGAACGGTAAAAATGAAGATGCCCTATTTCATGAAATGGAAAGTCATGGAGAGTGGTTCAAAAGAGAGCTGAGGTATCCTAAAAAGTGCAGTGCAGCACCAGAAACAATTTTCTATTATTTGCCAACATGTTTCATGGAGAAGCTTTCTGTGCTATTTCTTTCTTAGATATTTTTGAGAGAGTTGCTATTTATGATATATTCAAACTTAAGAAAATCACAACTTCATGAATTTTTTTACTTGGAATAATTTATGCTATTTCTTCCTTATCTCCTTTTATTTATTTTTTATTGCCCAACCAGGTCTTACTAATTTTGACCAGGATTTTTTTCTTTCTCTTTTTTTAGGAGATGAATATATTCTAAAATTGACATAGGTGATTATTTAGCATATCTGTGATTATACTAAGGACCATGTACCAATATAAACTAAATAGGTGAATTGCTATGTGATGCATATCTCCCGGTAATTGTCAAAAATCAACAACAAAAAAACCAACACAAATATCAGGGGACATAATAAGAAAAAATATGAGCCTCTGCTGGAAGTGGGTTTCCAGTATTGTCAATCTGACCTAGTTATGTTTCTGGTGCTTACACCCTTCTCTTAGCAAGCCACCATCACACATCTATTTCTATCTGGTCAATTCTGAACCATAACAACCCTATATAGGGTTTCTAAGGTTGGAAATCTTTATAGGAGCAGATGGTGGGTTTGAACTGCTGATCTTGGGCACCAGGGCTCCTTTTCCTTAGTAAAAGGACTTGTACTTTTGTCAGGCCCCAAATAACAACTCAGCTGATGAGAGAGCCCAGTTCTCTGGGGACAGCACGCAGCTGGGTTGGTAAGGAACAATTTCTGCATCGGGTTCACAGGTTTCTGAAAGCAACCTGTAGGTAGGTGTGGTTTTTCTGTTTCTGTTTTGTGTCTCTCTAAGCAAAATGTGCTGCTGCATCATAGCCCTGTCCCTTTCAGGTCCTCTGATGCTCACTGAGGACAATGGTTTCTTGGTTACACTGTTACACAGGGCACGACCATCTTTGAAATGGCTGTAGCAAGCTCCACATGAGAGGAGATCAGGCTCATGGAGAAGGGTGGCGTTTTCTTGGGCATTAGGAACAGCCTGTAGCTCTGACTGGGGGACAGTCTTAGGACTGTGGAATTCTGTGCTCTTTAACGTTCCAGAAGTGACATGTCATAAAGTGGCCCAAGTGTTCTGCTGTTACTTGGGGGGAGCTCAGTAGAGGATATGGCAGACATGTCTAATAGACATACTTTAGATGCTCCAGCAGTGGTTTTTGACAACGGCTCTGGATTCTGTAAAGTAGGCTTTTCTAAGGAGATTGTGCCCCGTCAAATAATCAATTCTGTTGTGGGGCATAAGCGATTTAACATATCTTTGGCAAAAACCAAGAACAAGAACTACCTCATCGGAAACGAAGCCCTGTATAACGATGAGCCGCTCATCCTTCAGCACCCCATTGAACGCGGCCAGATCACCGATTGGGACGACATGGGAAAGCTGTGGCAGCACCTTTTCGAGTGTGAGCTTGGCGTGATACCCAGTGAGCAGCCAGTGCTCATGACGGAGCCCTCCTTAACCCCAAGCCAGAGCCGTGAGAAGATGGCAGAAGTGATGTTTGAGAACTTTAAAGTGCCTGCTTTCTACCTGTCTAATCAAGCAGTGGTAGTACTCTATGCCTCTGCCAGTGTCACCGGCCTGGTCGTGGACAGCGGACACGGGGTGACATGTACCGTTCCGGTCTTTGAGGGTCATGCCCTGCCTCATGCCGTCAGTACCCTCAACGTGTCAGGAAACGACCTCACCGAGTACCTCACCTGGATTCTCCTGACCAGAGGGTATAACCACTACTCCTCAATCAACAAAGCCGTGGTGGAGGACATTAAAGAGAAGCTGTGCTACGTGGCCTTGGATCCAGGAAAGGAGCCCAAGCAAAGCCGGGGCAAGCCCCAGAAAGAATACCGACTGCCGGATGGCAATGTCATCTGTTTGGGGGACCAATTGTACCAGGTGCCCGAGGCCCTCTTTACACCCAGCCAGATGGACTTCCGAAGCCCTGGGATTCCAGAAATGATCGTCAATAGTATCATGAAATGTGACACCGACATCCAGAGTGCCCTCTTTAAAGACATTGTGCTGTCTGGGGGCACCACGCTTCTCTCTGGGTTCAAGGAACGCCTCTTTAAGGAGTTGAAACCAACAGCTGAACAAGGAACTGCCATAAAGATCACAGCTTACTTAGATAGGTATATATGTGGGTGGGTCGGTGCATCTATAATGAGCTCCACGAGTACTTTCAAGGACATGTGGATCACCAGTGCTGATTTCAAGGAGTATGGGCCATCTGTGATCCAGAGAAAATGCTTTTAGAGAACTCTAAGCACAGCAGAGAACTTGGGGCACATGGGAAATAGGGGCACGGAGATTAATATTCATGCTGTAATTCATGCTTCAATAAAAAGTGGTTTGCCCTTTCTGACTGTGTTTCATTCTTCGTTGTACCAGAATAACTTCTTTCCTTAGTAGCGAATCATTAAATCTATTCCCCCCTTCTCCTATGTGCTTCCTAAGAAACACTTGGCTTTTGAGTTGAGCCAATCCCCTGGGGTATGTTGTCAATGGAGGTTTCTGGACCTCCTGCTCAGTGACTTAATCTAGCAGGGGCTCTGGGATCAGCATTGTAAACAAGCATTTTGGGTGGTGCTACAAACCAGTGTCCAGGAGATGGGCACTGGCCGGGAAAGAAGTACAGTATAAGCAGGAACGCTAGCTACACTGTTCCTGGGGCTCAACAATGCTATTCCGTTCTTAGGGCTCAAGAAACCATGCAGCTGGGTGTTTTGATGCGATTGACCAGCTAAATAGGATGGAGCTACTACTCGCATTTACAGACAGGTCAGCGCAGAATTAACCATTTGCTTAAGATTATCTAAGCTCAGAGTCTCTGCCTTCCAATAAGGAATTGTATGAATCATCTCCACCTCTACTTGATAAGTGTAGTCTTCTCTTTTTAAGAATTCTCAGCAATATTGTGTTGGATATCAATATTATAAATAGTATTTTTGAATAAATTATTAATAAAGGGAATTTTTTCATGTTCATTTGTGGAACAGTCCCATAGTATTGCTGGAAAAGACATGTACAATGAAAAGATGACTTTATAATAAATTTTTTGCTAGGTTAAAGAAAACAATGACAGTCCCGTATGGGCACATATATACTTGAAAATGTGTTTTAATGGTTATGAGAACATGGAGAAAAGTGTAGGAAGACATGCATCAGGGGCTTTACACCAGTTAACGGGGAATTGGGAAGGAAGAAGTAATGCAGATGGGAAGAAGAGACAGAGAAAGACGTGAAATAATAAAAAAGAATTCCACTGAAGAAATTCAGCCTGAATGATTCTTCGTAGATATAGACAAGCTCATTCTAAAATTTGTATGGAATGATATATGAACTAGAATAGCAAAACTAATTTTGGAAGAAGATGTAGGAGTAATACTTCCTGATATTAAGACTGTGTGTCGCCTGTGTTCAAGACTATGTGTTATCGAGAAGGCATAAGTAAGTAGATCAGGGAAACACAATACAAAGCCCAGAAATGAAAACACATAGGTACAACCAATTTACTTTTCTACAAGTGTGTAAAAGTAATTTAATGAAGTAAGAAGTGTATAACAAATGGCATTAAAATTGGACATCCATATACAAAAATGTACTTTAACCTAAACTTCTTGCCTTATATGGAAAACAACTCAAAATGGATCATTAACATCCTTATAAAACATAACACTGTGAAACCTTTAGAAGAAAGAATCAAACATAGTCTTTGTGACTTTGGACCACAGAGAAAAATTTTTAGATATTGAACATTACCAAAATGAAAAACTTTTATTGTGAAAAAAAACACTTGTTAACAGGATAAAGACAAGGCACATATTAGAGAATTTTTTTCCAAATCACATTTTTGTAAAATAGTAAAGTCTAGAATATATAATGAACTCTCCAAATCCATCAGTTAGAAAATACACAATCCAATTAGAAAATGCACAAAAGACTTGAAAAGACACTCCACCGAAGATGATATGTAGATGGAAATAAACACTTGAAAATATTTCCATTCCTTTAGGGATGGAAAAATTTGATTTAAAATGAAATACCACCTCACACCTCTTAGAATGCCTCACAATAAGACACATTGATAATACATCACAAGAGATGGCAAGGAGGTGAGCAACTGGATGCTGCTGAGGATGTTGGTGAGGATGTAAAATGGTACAGCTACTCTGAAAACCAGTTTAGCAGTTTCCTATAAAACGAAATATGCCTGAACATACATTGTTTAGTTTCGTTGTTTTAAAAACTGACAATTTTTAAAATAAATAAAAATATATATGTTCACACAAAAGCTTGCACATAAATATTCCTAAGAGTAGGATTAGTTGTAGTCAAATCTGAAAACAACGTGACTATCCTTCATTGGATAAATTGGTAAATAGTAGGATATCTATACAATGAAATACTACTCGGTAACATAAAGGCATAAATTATTGGTGCATGCAACAACTTGAATAGATATGAAGGTTATTAATAATAATTAATTTAAAAACTAATCTCGTGGTGCTACACTTCGTAAAATTTATATATATATATTTATGTATAAGAAGAGTGAAACATGCTGATAGAGGCCAGCTCAGTGGTGGCAAAGGGCTTAGAGCTGGAGGTAGGGTGTGGCTTTTAAGTGACGTGGAAGTTGAATGATTTCACGTCAACTTGAATTTGTATGGAAGTGTCATACATAACCTGATGATACTTCCTTGTGGGGTGGGGGTGGGGGGCTTCTTTTAAGGGAGGAACTGGGAACTTCTCTCTCTCTGTCCCTCCACCTTCCTGCTTGCTGGAACCTTGTGCCTGCCTCCAGGGGAGGTCCCACATGGGCTGCTTGACCCTGAGCGTTGTCTATGCCCTAACATGTTTCCACCAACCTTGAATCCATGCGACTCTGTACTCACCAGCCTGTGATATTCCTGCATCCAGCTTCATCTTTCTGTGTCATAGGTCTGCAGCTATGTGAGTCTAACGAGGGTCTCTGCTTGCATTTAACTTACGGACTTGATTTTTTACTGGGTTGCTATGTCTTCTTGATATAAAATTACACACACACACACACACACACACACACACATATATATTTATTTATATATGGAGAGAGAGAGAGGCATTGGTTTTGTTTCTCTGGATAACAAAGCTTAACATAAGTGATAATACGTTGGGGGTTATTTTTGATGATACAATAATGTTTGATTTTGGCAATGATTGCACATCACTAGATACATGATAAAATTTCATAGAACTATATCCCAAAAATGTATACAATGAAACTGGGTAAAATATGAATAAGATGTGAAACTGAGTAAATATTATTGTATCAATATCAAATTCCAGGTTTAGACAATGTAGAATATTATGAGGGGAATTTTAATACAGGTTACACTGAAACTCTAAGATTTTGGTGATCTGTTGTGAGTCAAACTATTTTCAAGTAAAATATAATAATGATGACAATAAAGTGAGAGAAAAAAAGAGTTTTGAAAGTTCCAGGAACAGATAAAAGAGCACTCCAGTAGTTCAGTTTCTTAGGGTTAAAAAAAAAGAGATTTAGAATAATGCAACTTGATAGGTCCTTTCATTATCAGGAGTTTTGTTCTTGCATCTCTGCGAAGACCTTTTGACAAAGGAGAGAGGGCCATGGAGTCTGTCCTGTAATACATGGATGTTATCCATCCTTCTCTTGTTGGGTGGAGAGAAATCAGGGGCCACTATTCTGACCCACACCCATTCACTTGTACAAAGAGAGTGAGTTCTCAACTATGGGGCTCCATGTGCGCCAGAAAAGCGATACCACAGGAACGCAGTATGTCAGAGTAATGAGGCAAGCTGTATGTCCATAGACAACAGGGAGAGTTACGCTTGATATTATAAATTCAGCAGCTTCAATCTTCATTTTGTGCTTTTTATGAAGTAAGGAGTTTAGAGAGAACTAAGAATAGTGGGGAGAAACAAATAACAAAACCCTCCATCTACATGGTTTTAGGATACACAACTGATATCTTCCTCATTTAGATGGATGTGTTATCAGCTCTTGATAAGAAGCAGTACAACATTCCCACCTCCATTTCTCAATGCCTATTGGAAATGATTCCTCAAATACCTACCTCACTGCATACACCTGACTATTTTTCTCTGCCATTAATGATTTAATGATCATTATCATGAACTGTAGGACTTTAGAATCTGACCTCACAGAGGCATTGACTTGCATCTACAATATTTTAAGAATGGTTTCTTTATATATACATAGATAGATAACTTTAGGGATTGTTTTCAATCCTACCCCTTTCCTTTTCAATTTTTAGTTGTGCCTTATCAGCTGACGAATGTCCCCAAAGCTTTGCTTTATCCGTGCTACTATGGTCGACTCTACTATGAGAAGGCAGTTCTTACTCCATCATATTTTGAGGGCCTTCCGATCTTGGGGGGGGGGGTGTCCACGTTCTGGCATGATTATCTCATAATGTTCCCCAGCTATTTATAAGGTTCTCCGTGGCTAATTCCTCAGATGTGTACAGCCAATTCCGTCTTCCTAGTTTGGAAGTCTTCTGAAAACTGCTTTCCCTAGGTGACCGATAAATTGGACTCGATCCTTTTACCAGCACCATTTTTTACAGCACCAGTTTTGAGAAAAAGAAATCTTTTTATATTGGTGATTATCTAGGACTGGGGAGAATAAGGACGTTGTGGGGTGAAGGTTTAATGATGGAGGACTTGTTTTAGGGATGAATAAAATATGCTAAAGTGAATTGTGATGAATTGGTTGCTGAACTCTGAATATACTAAAACTCTTTGTGTATACATTTTAAATCATTGAGTTGTATGGTATGTGATTTTAATTTCATTAACATTGTTGACGTTTGTCTAAAAATCTGTAACATCTATCAGTCAACTAAAATATTTTATGCACTATACTTATTTAAAAGGTTTGAATATATTTCTGTAAGTTCATTTAAGTATCTATAATAGCCATGCTTTCTGTAGTATTGCAATATATGCCTGTTTGGGGATTGTTATAATTTTCATTTTTCTGAGTTTCGCTTTATTTTCTAGAAGTATGGATATTAAAATCCTATTTATATACTTGAGGCCTTTTGTTTTGTAATTTTTGAAGTAATATCAAATTATAGAGTTGCCATGGTTGCACACTTGTTACAAGTGTTAACCTGGGTAGTTTCCAGTCATCTTGTACCATGGAAATCAATAAACACTGAAAAGGACTCTTATTTTGAGGAGTCAATTTATCAACACATCACTCC